AAAGAGGTCCACATGGGCACAAAAATAATGAGCAGATCCTCTGTCAAACTACTGGTCCCACTCTCTATCAGCACACATCCGAAATAACCGCTTGATTCCTCTTCTCCAGTCATATTCTGCCACGTCATTTATCCTCGCCACTTTTTATTGCATCACTCACTCCAATCAGCGTGTCAATACCTTTAACATATCCACCTTTAAAAATACCATATTATTAATATCGGTAAAATATACAAATGTGACTCCCGATTATATAATATTGTTTTGTTAATTTTTTGATTATTAAAAGTTATAAAATGGTTTAAAGGGACTATTAAAAGTTATAAAATAGTCACCCAACTGTTCATTATGTTCCAAATTGATATTTTTTCGTTAAAAATAACGATAATTTGAGCTGGACGTTAACATCTATTTTAGACGACTATTAATTTTTTAAAGAAAAAATACTAGTTTAGAACATAACGAATAGTTAAGTGACCATTTTGTAAATTTTAATAGTAGATGAACTCAACAGAGTAATTCCCTATAGTCATGGGACAATTTGTGTATTTTACACTAATAATATATATATATATATATATATATATATATATATATATATATATATATATATATATATATATATATATAATTTACTCTATTAATAATATATGATACTTAAATTATAATATACATTTGTGTATTAATATTTTGTTATAGCATTTTTCTTCTATTTCATGTCAATATTTCTATTGCAATCATTAAATTATGTGTTTTTAAATTTTATCATTGAACTTCTAAATTTTGCTCGTTCAGGTCACTTGCTTGTTAATTCTTTAATGTCATTTACATTTTTTGGGATAAATTTATGCAAAGAAATCCCTAGAACTTTCCTCTGAAATCAATATTGTTAGACTCTATTTATTTCATCGATATCAAAGTATTTTTATTCCAAAGTTGAAGAATATGGAGGTTGAGAAATATGAGAAAAACATTATATCACAATTTCATATTGATCAAATGTTAGAAATTATAGATAGGATCAATATACGATCAAAGATTTTGATCTGAGTTTTATCAAAATTGAAGAAAACTAATTTGAGAAGACGAGAAAGAGATAAAATGGAATGTTTTTGTACCGTTTAAATTGCAATCGATGGCAGGTGGCAATCAAATGATGATAGATGTCAGTTATAGAAAAGAACAAGGTCATTTGGTTCATACGAGTGCTAACATTTGAATGACCTGAACAAGCATAATTTAAAAGTTGTGATAGAATTGAAAACTGTTATTATTAGGTGACCAAAATCAAACACGTTGAAAATACCTAAACAAGCATAATTTGAAAGTTTATTGATGAAATTGAAAAAATTTATAGTTAGGTGATTAAAATCAAACATATTGGAAGTTTGATGAGTAAACATGTAGTCTGCCCAAAAAATGAAAATATGAATTTAAATGGATTTAAAAAGACAAAGATGACCTTGATGATGAGATAATTGCTTAGGTAAATAGATTGAGTGATTTATGGGTAGATCCTACGTGTCGCGGGAAAGAAACAAAAACATTCAAAAGCTTATTTGTCTCGGTCAGTCTTTTTACTTCAAACGACTCAACGAGTTTGGTTCAATGTCACTAAAACCAACATCGGCTAGGATGCCCGCAACGAATTTAAAAATATATTTAAAATTTAATAATATGTTTACATAAATTGTATAAATATAATTTTATGGTGAACACTAATAATAAATCAAACAAATAAAATTAAAAAAAGATCAAATTTTAAAATGAGCATTGACTCATCCTAAATCTCATTTAAATTTGTCAGCCGACAAATGCCACTAATCATTTACAGAAACACAATATAAATACATGTTTTATACAATAATCAAATATATATTAAGCATTTTGAAATAAATAAAATAATTAAAATTAAAACTTTGAATATTGAGAAAAAATAAGAAAAAATAGAAATGGGTAAGAAAAATCTATCGATTAGTGATATATTTAAATAATACATGATAGAATGATTTTAAATATTTCATTATTTATGAAAGAAAAGAAAAAACTGAAAAGGTATTGAGCAATCTAGATTCCACTTGGCTCCGTATGGAGCGTTGCCTTTGAGTGGAATTTTGTCTGCACCTTCAACTGCTGCCGTTGAAGGACCGAGTCAAAAGGGTGAAATAAAAGTGAGTTGCGAGTAAAACCTGAATGCCGAGTTGGACGTTGCACAGCTAGTCAACTAGTCTTCGGCACATGGTCGTTAGGGTCCAAGATGATGTTTTTCCATCACCAATTAACCCACCTTCTTTTACTCATTTATTGCAAATCAAGGGGCACCTACCTACTCTGCTCCGCCTTTAACTATCTTCCGACTCCGATTTCAAGATTTTTAGGCCCAGCAAAAACCTTCCCCTTCAAGATACAAACCAACTTTAAAATAATTTAAATGAATCCTTAAAAGATCGATATATATTGATTATTTTATTTTATTAATTTAAATATAATATTATGAAATATATTTAAAATACACGTTATTATTGTGGGAAATAAATTTATCTTGTAGTTCGTTGATGATTTACTCCTAATATGGATGGAGAATCGCAGGTAATGATAGTGATGAAGTTATATAGTGGTTTGGAGGGGCAATTGTCTCTCTCAAAATTTTTGGTATAACGACATTTTACGTCATTTTTAGTTTAAATATTAGTTAAATAAGGATTATGTGCCTCCCAATTTTTAGATGTGAATACTTAATAAATTCTTGATCTTTGATTTAAAATGAGTTTACCCCTTAACATTTGATCCTAGCTCCGTTCCCGCTAGTGAGATAACGATCGTTGACCTATATTTCCTTGTGAGAGATGAAAGCGTGAGGGGAAGAAAAAAGTGAAGAAGGGAAAACATATTAGTCTCAATTTTCTCTTAGTCGTAGTTGAGAGATATTTATAATAACCTTTAGTTAATGGTGATAGACCTAAGGTCATAATATCTGTTTGTATGCTAGCGGATTATATAAATATTACTATCAACTATCAGACTCGACTCTATTAAAAATCGCGTCAAATAATGAAGAGTATGAACTCTAAAGAACGATCCTGACAGGATGGTTCCGAAGATGATGTGGTATCTTCGAATAACTTTTGGAGGCTCCACTCAAAAGTTGAATGTTATGAAGGTCTTTGTTAATGAATATTTGACAGTTTCCGAAGGATCTTCAAAAGTATAACAATATCTAATAATGGTAATCTTGAGTTTATGTATTAAAAGAAATATTCATTGTTATTATTTATGATTGTTATTTGTTTTTTTTATAATACTAATATATTAAGTATTTAACTTTTTTAATAATACTAGTATTTATTTTGACCTGGTTAAAATGCAACGTTTCACGTTTTTATTATTTTTTAATGAAATTAATTCATTGGGATAATTTAGTAGCAGAATGAAACGTTAGAAACACTTGTAATCAAAAGAATTTTAGGTACTAAATTGAGAAAGCAGACATAGCTGAAGGAGCAAAAAGTGCATTAAGGCTTATGTCAATTGTAGATTTTACGTGTTACATGCGCGGCGTTAAACTAGACGGCCGTCGTTGGGTGGGCATGGCAAAGAGGCAACGTACCGTCAGTTTTAACGTTTTGAAAACAAAAAGAGGGTTATAAAAGCGTCAAACTGGCAGATTCTCTGGGAGATAAGGTTTTTGCTTACGAGTCACCTAAACATGGCTCACTCGTTCAATGCTTTTTGCTTCCCCCATTTTCTCCCGACTTTTTCTTTTTCCATATCCTTCTCTTCATCTCATGTTTCCTCAACGCCCCAATGTGTTATCAAAATACGTATTTGCTTCTTCATTTTGATGAATTATTATTAGGTTGGCAAAATATTCCTATTTTACATTATTTTATTAAAAGATTATTCAAATATACAAAGAGATGAAATCAAATAATAATAATAAAATATTTAAATTTAAAATAATAATAAAAAAACATTAAATATTTAATTTAAAAAATTTAAAAGCATAAATTTACATTAATAATTCTTTCAGCTTCTCCTGCAACATTAGCATCTCAAGTTCTAATTTAAAATAGATTGTGACAGGAAATACAAAGAAGAGAGGAGTCAATGTTTACATCACATTCGAGAACTTGTGTAGAAAGTAGGAACCATACCATCAATTAATGCACTCCACGTGAAATCCACGTGATTATATGGATTTCAAATTAAAAGTTGCATTTCTACCGACCAAATCACAGCCGTTTAAGGTCTAATTATTGTTTTAGTCCATTAATCATGTTGAAATTTAATATTTAATTAATCTCTCTACTCCACCTTCTCATAAATTGATCCTTATACTTCAGTTACTGTCGTTAAATTGATAAAGTATAGATTATTCAATTAGGATTATATGAAAATATTAACTAATCAAATAAAAAAAATCTCATTTTGTGACGTTACAATTTATAAATTTAGACCTATTATTAGGTGCGATCATAATAATACTAGAAAAAAAAGGAATGGTACTAAATTGAATTAAAGAAATCAAATCTCAAAATTCTATATCAGTAAAATTAAGCTTTTATTCCAAGATATCGCACGACATTTTTATAAAACTTCGTCCTTTACGTTCCGTGAGATTTATGAAATGGACCCCATAGTTATCGGTTCACGCGGCGACCCGACGCTGATTAACCGTTGCTAACGGGATCTCAGCATCAACGGCCCAGGAAATAAAATTAAAAAAACGCTTTTTTCCATTTATTTAGTGAGAAAAAAAATTAAAATTGGAAAGAAAAAACGAGAAATTGTTTCGGGTACCTAAAAGCCCGAACCCGTAGCCAACTTCGGCCCGTAAAACAGCCTATATAAAGGACCCATCTGCGTTCAAGCAATTCTCGCCCAATCAACCACTGCTAACGTCTCTTTTGAATATAACACATTAATGCCCTCCCTCATTTCTCTCAGATTTTCCCTTGTTTTCCGGGAAAATCTTGTTTTCTTACTCAGTTAATTTTCTTTCGTTAAAAAAAATCTTGATTTTTTTGTGTTTTGTGATCTGCATGGTGAATTCCTTTTCCGCAGAATAAATTTTGTGCGTTTACATAAAAAAGGAGAAATTTTTAATTTTCAATCTGTTAAAAATATTCTGCTGAAAGGGTCGGCGTGGGGATTTTGAAGTTTAGGGTAAAGAGAAAGTGTTGTTCCGGTTGTAATAGAGTCGTCGTCTGCTTCTTTTGAGGGAGTAGCCGGGGCCTCGGCCTCGGCGGGCTTTAAAGCTCCCACCTTTTGAAAGCTAATCACAAATATCATCATTTTTTGTTAACCTTTTAATTTTGTCTTTTTCATAACTTTTTTAGCTAGTTTTACAGATTCATTCATAGGATGCCGGCCCTGGCTTGCTGTGTAGATGCTGCTGCCGTAGCGCCTCCTGGTTACGCGGCTTTCGTTGCCGGGGACGGCTCCCTTCCGGCGGTGGCTCCCTTTGCTTCTTCCACCGCCGCCGCCGTTAATTCCAACTCAACCCATTGGTCCCCTGCTCACTCCTCCGCTCTTTACCGTATCGAAGGCTGGGGAGCCCCTTATTTTTCCGTCAATGACTCCGGCAATATCACCGTTAGTCCGTACGGAACGGACACTCTTGCACACCAAGAAATCGATTTGTTGAAAATCGTCAAGAAAGTTTCGGATCCGAAATCGGTGGGCGGACTCGGTTTACAGTTTCCCCTAATTGTTCGCGTACCAGATGTGTTGAAGAACCGGCTCGAGTCTCTTCACTCGGCTTTTGAATCTGCAATCCAAGCCCAAGGCTACGAGTCTCATTACCAAGGCGTATATCCCGTTAAATGTAACCAAGACAGGTTCGTTGTTGAAGACATAGTTAAATTCGGGTCGCCCTTCCGGTTCGGACTTGAGGCCGGTTCAAAGCCCGAACTCCTCCTTGCCATGAGCTGCCTCTGCAAGGGAAACCCAGAGGCCTTGTTGATCTGCAATGGTTTCAAGGATGCGGAGTACATTTTCCTTGCTTTGTTAGCAAGGAAGCTCGCGTTGAACACTGTAATTGTTCTCGAAGAAGAAGAAGAGGTGAATTTGGTTATTGAAATAAGCAAGAAACTTTCTGTTCGACCTGTGATTGGAGTCCGAGCCAAGCTGAGAACCAAACACTCGGGTCATTTCGGGTCAACTTCGGGTGAGAAAGGCAAGTTCGGGTTAACAACCACCCAGATTTTAAGGGTTGTTAGAAAGCTTCAAGATTCGGGGATGCTTGATTGTCTGCAGTTGTTACACTTCCATATTGGATCCCAAATCCCTTCAACAACTTTGCTCCAAGCTGGTGTCGGCGAAGCTGCACAAATCTATTCTGAATTAGTTCGTCTTGGCGCTGACATGAAGGTTATTGACATCGGAGGCGGCCTCGGAATCGATTATGACGGGTCGAAATCTGGTAATTCGGATCTCTCTGTTTCTTATGGCCTTCAGGAATATGCTTCATCTGTTGTTAATGCAATTAAGTTCGTCTGTGACCGTAAATCTATCAAGCATCCAATTATTTGTAGTGAAAGTGGAAGAGCCATTGTTTCCCATCATTCTATTTTGATATTTGAGGCTATTTCTGCTAGTGTTCCTACTGCAATGAACCCGGTTGACCTTCCATTTATATTGGAGGGTCTCTCTGAAGATGCTCGTGCCGATTGCTGGAACTTGATCCAGGCAGCCGTGAGACATGAGAATCAGACTTGTTTGGTTTATATCGATCAGTTGAAACAAAGATGTGTGGATCGGTTTAAAGAAGGGACTTTGGGGATTGAACAGCTTGCTGCTGTTGATGGATTATGTGACTTGGTTTCGAATATGGTTGATGCATCAGATCCTACTAGGACATACCATGTGAATCTCTCGATTTTCACTTCGATCCCTGATTTTTGGAGCATAAGTCAGGTTTTTCCTATAGTCCCGATTCATCGATTGGATGAAAGGCCTGATGTGAGAGGGGTGTTGTCTGATTTAACTTGTGACAGTGATGGGAAGATCGATAAGTTCATTGGAGGTGAAACGAGCTTGCCTTTACATGAGTTGGAGGGTAATGGCTATGGTGGTGGTGGTGGTGCTAATGGGCGGTACTATTTGGGTATGTTTTTGGGTGGGGCTTACCAGGAGTCGCTCGGTGGAGTGCACAACCTCTTTAGCGGCCCAAGTGTCGTTAGTGTGTCGCAGAGTGATGGTCCACACAGCTTTGTGGTTACGCGAGCTGTTCCTGGTCCATCATGTGGGGATGTCCTCCGAGTGATGCAGCATGAGCCTGAGCTCATGTTTGAGACCCTCAAGCACCGTGCGGAAGAATTTTTTGGACAGGACCATGGTGATGAAGGCACCTACGCTGCTTTAGTTACCACCATTGCTCGTTCCTTCCACAACATGCCTTATCTCGTAGCAGCATCTCCTTGTTCTTTGACTGCCATGAATAACAACGGTTTTTACTATTCCAACGAGGAAGATTACAATGCTGCTGTAGAGTCCGGACCTAGTGAGGACGAGCACTGGTCGTATTGTTACGCCTGAAGCAACATTCTACAATTTGCTTTGTTGCCTTATTTAATTTCCATTAATAATGTTCCATTTTAGCAGAAGTTGATAGCATACAGGGTGTTTCGCATTTTGTTGGGTAGAAGGGATGGGAATCGAATCCAGCCTTTTCTGTAAATTCGGGTTTTATACCCGATCCATGTTTCTTTTAAGCCGAGTTTATTACTTTTATTTCTATTGCTCCTCTGATCTTCATTTTAGCATGAAAATTCTTCAGCTTGCTTTTGTGTGTGGTTCTCCACTTGGATGCTTTCAGTGGATACAATTGTGATCTGGTAATAGTGGGGGTTGAGCTGGGATTTTAATGTCTTGATGCAGAAATCAATGGGGGTCAGATTCAAGCCCCTAGTTGAAATGGTAAGTTACCCAAGGTTCTTAAATAAGTGGGGTATGGTTCTCTTGTTTTTTCTGTAGCTCTGCTAAGCCCAAGCAAAGAGTTATGGATATTACCGTGCTTCTTCCATCTGTCTTTTCTGTAGCTGCTAAGCCTGATATTGGAAATTCAGTTGAAGAAAGTGCTGCAGATTGTGTTGTACCTCCAAATGTCCTCCAACTCGGAAGGTTAAAATTAATCTCGACAACTCGGAAGATATGAAAATGGTTTTCGAAAGAAGATCTCAAATATCTAACTTCATTTGTGATGAGTAGTGGGAAATCGTGACTCATGTCATCTTGGGAAGAAGATGAAGCCACGATGGCCGCTGGCTCATGTCATTTTCTGATATCTGACAATCGAAGATAGGGTTTCGTGCAGTACCATTTATAGCTACTGACATTAATGGAGTGAATGGAAAAGTGGCAGCGTGGCCGAAGCATCATGCAACAACAAGATCAATGCCATCTCCCTCGTTAGTTTCTCAAGGGGGATAATTTAGGGGGAGGCATAGAGTAATTTTGCAATTTCTAAACTTTATAATTTTGAGACCAAAGCAACACATTTATGAGGTCAAAGGAAAATTTTAACTTTCAATTAACTAAAAGCTTTACAGTTTAAGAATCAAAAGAATAATTTTCAAATACGAATTACTTCTGTCAAATCTAAACCAGGTTAAATTTGAATATTATTATCTAAATTTTGATTAAATCAGATCAAATATTAAATTTGTTAAATATTTGCAGTCTAAATAAAAATATCAAACGTATAATAAATTTAAATAACATATAATGATGGATATATGATAATTAATACACATATATGTTATGAATTTGTTGAAAATGATAATAATATATTCATTTAAAATTTAATGAACTTGGTGGTTAAAGGAGATATTATTTTTTCTTGAGGTTCTAGGTTTAAACAATCGTTTATAAAATATGTATATATTATTAAAAATTAAAAATAAATATTAATTTGTAATCAACTAATACTGAGACTTGCATTTTGTCCATAAACGAGCCCAAAGCTAATCAGATTAAAAGAAAAAAGGATGCCCACTTAAGGAATAATATCTAGGCTTGTATCGTCATCCGCCGTCCCGGCTGGTGAGAGATTTGGAGTAGGGGAAATGGCGACTATGCAGTTGTAGCAAGGAGAGTGACGATGAAGCAGTGTCCTAGCCTAGCACAGGCATCGCCGATTGGGGTGAGAAAAAGACAGAGAGGGAAGAGATTCAAAGGAACGTATGGGAACGCCAGACCCAACAAGGAGAAGAAGATTGAACGAATCAAAGACAAGGTCGAAGTTCTCAGGTCCACCCCTTGGCCTCAAGCTTATCTAAACAAGAGTAATTTTCTCCTCTGTGTTACCTGTAATAACATTGCTAATTTTTTGTACAACGTTTCTGGGTTATTTTCATTAATTACTTCATATTATATTGGTGGGGTTTGAGTTTTAGGAATGATTTCTTGATATTTCAAAAGCTTGTTAAAGTGCGGCCAATGGTTTCCTATTCGTTCTTGCCTTGATTTTTTGCATGAGAACAGAGAAAACGCCAACTACTATGCAACACTTATTATTGGTTAAAGAAGTAGAACATGCTAGTTATGCCCCTCTTGATCTTAATCGTTTATAGCGGATCTACAACAAGTTTAAGCTGGGCTTAAAGTAGATACATTTACAACACAACATGTTCAAGAACGTGAAATGCATAACGAACGCTAAACGAACATTAACAAATATATTTACAAATGCTAATTGAACATGTTAATAAATATATTCGTAAATGCTAAACGAATTAAATACAAACACCTTCAAAATTAAATAAACAAACACAAACATGTTATTAAAAACTTAAATGAACACAAACCGAACATAAATAGTTTTAAAAATAAACGAACGAAAAAGATGCACATAAATTTAGACGAAAAGAGTTTTCACAAGAATAATTTTATGATCATCCGGCATCTATCAACCTTGAGCAATGATCTTATAAAAAGAAAAACCCAGACACATTGCAATAAGTACAAAGGCGCATAAACATGAATGTTATTCGAGCCTCAGCTCATTTCACTTTTAACCAATGCAAACTAGTAGTTCCCTTCGATCCTTCGTTACTTTTATACAGGTGGAGAAGCAACTCTCTTTGACGTAAAACGGTATTTTCTATATGAATCCTAGAGATTTTAGCAACTAAACCTTTTAAGAAAACTGCTGCTAACCAGCAGCCGGTTGTTTCAGACAAACAAGTAACGGAAATTATATAATGGATGATGCAAGTCTAATTAACAAAAGCATATGACTAACCTTTATTTCTTGGGAAAGTAAAGGTGCATGTTTTACTCGGTCTTCTCGACCATAATCATACACAATCTCACTGCATCAAGAATGAGATTTGGAACGGATAAAAAAAAATAAAGCTAATCGGGAAATTTCGTAACAGTAGTTGACAACACCCAAAAGATTTAGATCAACTAAGTAAGCAACAAAATAAAGCAACACAGCATCACGTATATTGGGAGGTTGTAAGCACATTAAAGAACAAGATGACTGCCCATTTTCCTTCAACACACATTTCTCGAGCAATATAGATAAAGTATGTCAGTAGATCAAGATAAAACCTAATGAAAGGAAGAAATAATTGTAAAAATGCACGGAAGAAAGAACACAACTATCCGCTATAAGGTAATAATACAAGAAAAAACAAAAGGTTTTTCTTGTTACTTTTCTACTATGCAGTATAAGGTTTAGACGTGGATATTTTAGAGATGTGAATGCATACATAGAAGAACTTTGGATAAGAGACATGTGAAATGAAAGATACTGCACGCTGGTTAACAAGAAATGGATTGTGATAATTACCCCAGATGGCGGAACAGGATTTCGAGTAAACTTGGAACCACCAGGAGCCCATGGAACTGCAAATTGATATTATATGTGAGCCTCATACAGCATAATAGGTTTAAAACTGGAAAATAAGAACCTCACAAGAGAACTACCTATAATCAGTCAATCAATCACGTGTCATAACAAGATCAAGACCTAATCCATAACGAACCATTGGTGATAAAACACAAGAATGCGCGTGGAAAGAGATTCCACCAAGCAATAAGAGGCAAAGAGATAGAAATAGTTCGGTAGCATTTCGCTGCACCAACATCTGCAAGCATTGGCACTCATGTTGCACGCTTGTCACAGTTATATGGGTTCAGGATTTATCCCATTTTTCAGGAATTCAAACTAGTTTCCTCTCAATTGTTTCAAAAGGAAGTTCAAAGAATCATATCAATTGTTACTGAATTAACCGACCGAACCAAAACTTAGTTTTGCTAACCGATCGATTAAGTCTATGTTAGATCGTTAATAAAATTTTCAAAATTCGATTAACGGTTAATTTAGTTTGAAATCGGTTAGTTAACAAAATTAAGCAAAGATATTATAGGTATTATATATATTAAGCTCAAACCTATTAAAAATTAAGGTCAAATTATTTTTTAACCACACTAGACCCATTAAACTTTCAAAACCCAATCAAATTTTATTCAAAACAAAAAAATACTTCTATTATATTCAAATTAATATAACTAAAAATATTGACCGAATTAAACAAACTATTTTCAGTTCCATTAATATTATTTAAAAAAATAGGTTAAAGAAAAAAATTAATTAATTCGATTTAAAGTAAATAACCGAATTAACAATTTGAACATCCCAACACACAAGAATTATGGAGATGACAAACTTTCAATATAAAATCTCTTTTAGACAAGTCTAAGCATCAGAGGAAAACGGAACTTTTTGGTATCCCCATTAATTCACAAAAAACTCTCTTATAAAACCACCGAATATAAGGATCAGGATGCCGCCACTTATTATAAGTTGATTCACCTGCAACTATCATTTTGTCAATTGTGTCAGGATCTTCCTGCAAAACCCACCAAATTGTACAAATTCAACATCACCAAAGATACAAAGTGAACGACTACAGTATTCACCATTTACACGAGTACTTAATGAGTTCAATGCTGGATGCAAATGAGCTCAAATGATCATCATAGGGAAAAAACATTATTTATAAAAATAAATAAAAAATAATACGAGGAGAAAATGTGACATAAGAAATGAGAAATTTGGAAGACAAACCACTTGCTTAAATATTATAAAATAATTCTCTAATTATAAGAAGTTATTTCATTAAGTTTTTAGATTATTAAAAGTTATAAAATGATCATCCAAATTTGTCATTTTTCGTTAAAAGATTGACGAACGTTTGAGTTGAACGTCAATATGTAGACTGTGATAAGATAAAATTATATTTTGATAATGTCTATTGGTATTGACGTTGGTTTCAAGTACTGGTTGAACGATATAATGTTTCAAGCATTGACTCGACGATATACTATAGACAAAGAGTTGATCCACAAAAAACAATTCAAACGATTCTCAGATGATATTTTTTCATATCACAACCAACATGTTAACGTATAACTCAGACGACCGCTAATTTTTAATAGAAAAGGATGAGTTGGAACATATGAATAGTCGACCGATAATTTTATAACTTTTAATATTCGGGAGACTCAACAAAGTAACATCTTATAATTGAGTGATAATTTTATAAATTTTAATAATTAAGGGACTCAACTAAATAACACCCTATGATTGAGGAACCATTCTTACCTTAAGTTAAATAAATAAAAAAACATTATTAGACTTTATCTTACAAAAGAAATATATATCAA